CACTACTACTCCTACTACGACTACTACTACTGATACTACTAGTTGTACTACTACTACTGCTACTACTACTACTACTGCTACTACTACTAATGCTACTGCTACTGCTACTACTACTACGACTGGTACTACTACTACTACTACTACTACTACTACTACTATTACGGCTGCTACTGCTACTACTAATACTCAGGCTTCTAGTCGTACCGCATCTACTATTCCTAGTATCACTATTGCTACTAGTATTACAACCACTGCTACTTGTACTACTATACCCTCCACAAGTACTACTACTACTATTACGAACTGTACTGCTACTACCACTACGAATACTACTACACCCTCCAGCAGAAGTACTACTACTACCACTACTTTTACTACTACTACTACTACTTCTACTAATACTCTTACCAATATTACGACTACTACTACTACTAATACCACTACTACTACAACTGCTACTAGTACTCCTACTATTAGCACGATGTCTACTACTACTATGATTCCCGCTATTATTCCTAGTACTATTGCTATTACTAAGTACTGCTACGACTACTACGACAACTACTACTACTATTACTACTACTACTACTATTTCTAAAAACAAAACAAAAAAGAAAAAAAAAAAAAAAATAAAAGAAATGGACACTACCCTACGAATACTACAAACTACTGCTACGTCTACGACTACGACTACGACGACTACTACTACAAACAACTACTACTACCACTCCTCCTACTCTAACTCATACTCCTACTACTACACACTACTACTACTACGACTAACCAACTACGACTACGACTACAACTACGACTACTACTACTACTACTACTACTGCGACTACTACTACTACTACACTACTACTACTACTACTACTGCTGTTACTACTACGACTAACGACTCTTACTACTACTACTACTACTACACTACTATTAGTACTACTACTACTTACTACTGCTACTACTACTACACTTCTACTACTACTACTACTACTACCACTACTACTACTACTACTTTCACTACTACTAACTACTCTACTACTACTATACCACTACTACTACGACTACTACACTAACTACACTAACTATTGATACTACTACAACACTACTACTACTACTACTACTACTACTACCACTACCACTACTACTACTACTACTACTACTACTAGTACTACTACGACTGCTACTGCTACTACTGTTACTACTACTACTACTACTACTACTACTACTACTACTACTACTACTACTACTACTACTACTACTACTACTACTACTACTACTACTACTACATACTACTACTACTACTACTACTACTACTACTACTACTACTACTACTACTACTACTACTACTACTACTACTACTACGCCTACTACTACTACTACTACTACTACTACTACTACTACTACTACTACTACTACTACTACTACTACTACTACTACTACTACTACTACTACTACTACTACTACTACTACTACTACTACTACTACTACTACTACTACTACTACTACTACTACTACTACTACTACTACTACTACTACTACTACTACTACTACTACTACTACTACTACTACTACTACTACTACTACTACTACTTCTACTTCTACTACTACTACTACTACTACTACTCCTACTCCTACTCCTACTCCTACTCCTACTCCTACTACTACTACTACTACTACTACTACTACTACTACTAGTAGTACTACTACGAGTACTACTACAACTACTACGATTCAACAAAAGACGCGCAAGATCCCAACCGCAATAACTCAGGCGTAAATCTGTTCCTGTAAGGTGTCCATCGCAGTTTCAGATAGCAATGAACAACTATGGTAACTTTTCAAAATGTTTTCTTTATTCGCTTCCTCCTCGGTTGGGATCTGACCGTGCCTGGTGTTTTAGACGGTTGGGATCTGAACCGTCCGGTTGGGATCTCACGCGTCCGGTTGGGATCTGAACCCATCGCTATGCCCATCCCCCCCTATCGCTGCCTCTGACATTGGCAATGCCCGATCCTCCAGGGCACCAGCCCCTCGTCCCGAGTTGATCCTGGCCGCCCCAGGGCCGGGGGCCCGGGAGGAGGCCCCGAGGGCCATACAGCGGCAGAGAAAGCTGTTCAGTTTCCACCTGGGCCAGTTTTTTCCATCCTGGCGCACCAGCCCTACGATCCGACGGCACAAAAACATCAGCATCGTTCTCTTTCTCGAGCAGCGTCGGAGCTGGAACAATAAATCCAGATTTCGCCGTAACGCCAGCGTCTGTACGTAATAGCCAAAATTTGTCGTAACAGCGCCAGCTCTGAAACATAGACAGGATGCGTCGTAACGGCGGCGGTTGCTTGAGATCCGTTGGCATCTAGGCTCAACTCGCTTAGCCAGCAAGGATTCATGCAGGGTTGGTGGAGTCCTGCAGAGCCTCTGTTTTCAGCCACGCCACATCTTCTGAGAAGATAGCAGAAAAAAACGCTCACATCATCTTCGTGTAACGTACCTTACACGCTTTTTCTGACGGCATGGCAAGCAACGAGGGCGACGGGCAGAGAGGCCCCCCGCGTTCTGGCAGGAGACCGCTCCACCAAGTGCAGGAGCCGAGTCCGTCATTGGCAGCGGCAGGATCCCGCGGTGAAGAGCCACCTAGGGAACGTAGCCCTAGGCTCCTTCGCCCACGGGATGAGGCAGCCTCAGCAGCGCTGATGAGCCTCAAAGCCGCAGGCACTGAGGTTCCGAACCAGAATCAGTTTATCGAGGAACAACTACAAATATTCGTGTCACCTGAAGTACAAGCTCCCGTCGATCCGACGGCACAAAAACATCAGCATCGATCCGACGGCACAAAAAAAAATCAGCATCGTTCGACATCACGACCAGAGACCTGGACCGCGTCTTCCTCCGACATTCCTTGAGCCTTCAGGGTCCAGGGAGCCGACGCCGGGCGAAGCTGCCCGGCCTGGCCAGAATTGCAGCGCCTGCATCTTGGGGAGGGCCCACCCCAGATCCCAGCTGCCATGATTTTCTCATAGCGTCGACTTCCAAAGGCCTCGACCCCTTCCCCGGGACCAGTTTCTCGTCCCGAATACCTCTGGACAGCCCCGCGGACAGGTGAGGGCCACCAGAGTTAAGTCGGGCCTGTCCCCCTACAGGGGAACTTTCGACGAAAAACTGAAAATACCCCAAAAATAATCAAGACATGATTTAAAAATTAGTCTGGGGACAATTTTTTGATGTTTTATACAATTTTGGTGTATTTTTGGGGTGTGTATTTTTATTTTTTCGTCGAAAATCCCCCTGTAGGGGGACAGGCCCGACATAACACCAGCGGCCGAAAGCAGCGATCAATGAAACCTCCCGCTGCGAGGTCTGTCACGGCCTGAGGGGGGCCTGGGACCTCCGCGGGGCGGCCGCGCTGGCTGATGGGCCTGTAGTTGTCCACCACCACCGCCAGGAGTTGGAGGGGGGAAGGAGGAGGACGAAGAGGAGGAGGAGGAGGAGGAGGAGGACGAGGACGAGGAGGAGGAGGAGGAGGAGGAGGAGGTTAATTAAGGAGGTGGAGAAGGACGAAGAGGAGGGGAAGCAGGTGGAGGAGGAGGAGGACGACGAGGAGGAGGAGCAGAAGGAGGAGGAGGAGGAGGAGGAGGAGGAGGAGCCTCTCCCCCTCCCACTCGTGGTGGTGGTGGTGGAAAACAGGCCCATCACTGGCGCCGCAGGCGGTGCCCACAGCCAACGCCGACCAGAGCGGGCGGCGGCCGGCGCGGCGGCCGCGGCCGCCGGGGCCTCGACGTCCGCGGGCACGGCCCGCCCCAGGGCCGCGCCGCAGCCGGGCATCCGCAGCTCGCGCAGCGGCGCGGCGCGCTCCACGCCTCGGCTCGGTGCCCCGCGGGTCGGGGGGTTCCCGGAGGCCTCCTACCCAGAGATCCAACGCATTGAAAAAATCCAGACGAAGGTTTTTCGTTGTTTTCGGCCTCTACAGGGGCCCTCGCTGGGCCCCGGGACCGAGAAAAAACGGCTCAGGATGAAGAACGGGGCCTGGGGAATGGGTCGAGACGTCTGGGGACCCCGTACGGACAAAAATCGCGACATCGGATCTCTGGGTGGATGGGGTCCGAGTAGTGAGAGGAGGTCGGAGGATCGCGCCGCATCGCCAATGCATCGGTGATGCATCGGCGTCACCGGCGTGGAGGAAGTCTGACTCCACGTCGGGCCGCATCGCTGATGCATCGGCGATGCGGCGCGATCCTCCGACCCCATCTACTCGGACCCCATCTGGGAGGCCTAGAGCTGCGGGCCCGCGTTAATCCGGGCTGGCTTTGCGGGATCCTGTCAGGGGGGACGAAAGGGTAGGATAGTAAAGGGTTTTATAGAGAATCGGCTCACGTGTAGCTGGTTTTCCTGGCGCCTCCTGGCGCCGGGAGGCGCCCATGTATATCGAGGAATTGGTCCGGCGGCGGGGCCGAAGCCAGCTGCATACAGCAAATTGCACCCCCCCCCTCTTTCCCTATCCTACCGCTGCAACCAGCCCGATTCTGCAAAATTGTGCAATATCCTCGAGACGGGACGGACCGTCCTGGCATTCCATGTGGCCTACCACGGAATGTCCTTAGAACCCAAAAACGCTCTAACAGCAAAAAACACTCTCTTAGAGCATAAACCCGATGTGTTAAGACAAGACGGCCTCAACCAGAAATGGTCTGAGAACATGACGTGCAGACCACAACATGTTATTGGAGCATTCGTTGGTGGGCCTATTATAAGCAAGCCAAGACGCTCCGCCACTTCCCGAGATCCTACGCGCCAGCCCGGGTCAATGCACACCTGGCTCTGCAGGATCCTGGGAAAGATTCAGCGCCGCGGCAGACCCCCGTGTGCATGGACCCCAGTCTCAAAATGCTCCCAGGCGACGAGGGCCGCGGGCGGCGCTGGCGGAGGCTTCCGTCGGCAGTTCCTGTCGGTGCTCTCCTGCCTTGTGTGAGGCTTCGGGCTGTGAACAGTGCAGCCCCCCGAGGTGACTCCGTCCGAGCGACGATCGGAAACGGACCCTGCGCGAGACGACGTGGCGACCTTCGCGGTGGCTTACGCGGGCCGCCCGCGCGGCACCCCACGCCAGGACGAGGGCGCCTACGCGCCACCTCAGGCGGGCAGCTTGCGCGCCGTCGGTGCAGACGACCCCGCTCCCTTCTGCGTCGGCCGCCGATCTGGCCTCCACGGGCCGCCCGAGCAGCGCGGCGGCCTCAGCACCCTGGCGCCGCCACCGGCTGCGTCACCGGGACGCTCCGCGCTCCAGGGCTTGGGGTGCCAAACTGTTTTGGGGGGGGGGGGCGCAGGGATCTTTCATCTTGGAGCGCTCGTGGCACCGCGAGATCCCGTGGTGAAACTCCAGGGCCGCATCGGGCAAGCCCGCCGACCCGATCCAGTCGTCAAGAGAGGCCGGGCCACGGCGACTCAGAGGAGGCACCCGGAAGTCCATGGAGGGCGGGTGAAGGCTGCAGGCCCCAGCCACGAGCTTTGTCGCGACGCTGGCGCACAATTCTTCGCACGATCGGGGCAGGAAAAGGAAGGAAGAGAAGACGACACGTGAGAGGAGTAAAAATCAGGGAGACGAAGACGAGAGGAAGAAGATGAGCCATCGCCTCAGGCAAGCAGGTCCGAGAAGTGGAGCCTCCGCGAGGATGCGGGGAAAAGTGGCGCACGTGAGAGCGGATGCCCCTCTCGGGCGTCTCCGGAGGAGCAGCCTTCCCCTCTCAAAACGCACGCGAACACGCGACGCGGGTGGCCAAGTGCCACTATTGGGTCGGGTGTCCTCGGCGATGCGCGTTGCCAAAGAGTATTCCGTCGTTTTGCCAGATGTGGAGCAAGACATGCAGACTCCTTCATTGACTCGCGTTGGGCCAGGCTCGGCATTGGGACCGACACCAAGTACACAACTAAGGGCCAATCAATTGCGAATGCAAGGCGCACTACATACACATTGACCCTGCGATCGGATACACCAGAATCGCCAGGTGCAACCGTGGAAAACAACTCAAGCAGTAGTAGACACACGCTGCATAGGGCTGACGTCAAGACGAGGAGGAGCATGAGGACACGAGCGGAAAAGGTATTGCGACCGAAGGAGCTATTTCACTGAATCTGCGTGAAGGATCTATTGAAAATTTCTTGGCGCACTGGTAGAAACACCAGCGCCTGTGCGGATCCAAACGATCCGTACCCTCCAGCACGAGCGCTGGGAGAGAATTTAGATGCATGCGGCACATGAGGTCACTGCTCCTACCTCCGTCGTTGAGACCAGAGGCTGCTGAATCCACTTGCAATTCCATACGCTCTTCCTCCGATCACTGCCATCCTCGGGCGTCTCAAAGCATTTCTCGCCGAGGGTGAGCCGCTTCCCTGCGTCTGTGGCAAGGAGGCCCACAAGCAACGCTGCAAAATTCAGGGAAAATACCTCGGCCAAGGTCTCGCCGGCGCCCTTGCGCAGCCGGCGCTTGCTGAGAAACTTCGTGAAACCGAACATGCAAGCATACTCGAAGAGCTCGCAGGTCTTCCGCACGGTAGACTTCCACGGGTAGTCCTGCGAAGCCATGGCAAACAGCACCACACCAAGCGAGAATGCGTCTGTCATGATGGTGTCGAAGGGCTGCGGCTTGTGGATCTCCGGAGCCTGGTATGACGGCTTCCCCACCGACGACGACGCCGACGCCGATCGGTCCAGCGTGGACATACCGAAGTCGATAATCTTGATCCTCATGTCACCATTCTCATTGTGGAGCAAGATATTCTCTAGGGACAGATCCCGGTGAGCGATACCGAGGTCATGCAGCCATCTCACACCTGTGAAGATCTGACTCACGAGAGGGTGCATCGCTGCCTCCCTCCTCGGGCCAGGCTTCGGCTCGCAGTCGCACCAGGCGAAGAGGTCACCCTCGGATGCCAGCGAGCTGACCACATAGGTGCTCTTCTCGTCCGCGAACACGCCCAGCAGCTTGACAGAGTACGGGTATCTGATCTCGGTGAGGTGCCTGACGAGGCCCACGTCCATCCACGGCCTCTCCACGGAGTCTGGGTGCCGCGAGTCGAATTCGTCTGGCGAGCCACGTATCCACCTCGTCGGCATTTTCTTCACGGCCACGAAGGTCCCACCATCGCGCATGAGCTCCACACAGCCGTGGTTTCGCTGGGCTTCCTGCAGCTGCTTCAGTCTCTTAAACCGACGACCATCCCAGGGTAGGATGTCAGCAGCGGAAGCGTCCATGCTTTCTCGCAACGTGCTAGCAGTCAACGGCTCGACCGCGATTGCCTCTGGCACGGCCTCCTTCTCCGCCGTGTGCTCGATCGCGGCGTCCGTGTTGTCCACCCGCACCTCGTGCAACGTGTTCCGCTGTCTGGTCTTCTCCGACCCGAAGAGCAGCTCCAACACGCCACCGAACAGCAGCATAGGGTCGACACACGCCGCAGCACGAGCAAGCGAGGGCGAGCTTACGGCCTCGAGGCGAGAAAGGCTCGAGCCCAACTACGGCATCCTGCCTCGGGGTGCGTTCCAGCAGCTGCGCCTCGCCGAAAGCGTTCCGGCGGAGGTGCCCGGGTCGTCCCGAACGGCCGCGGGAGGCCCGACTTTTAGGAGCTCGTCGGTGACGTCACGCTTCGCGCCGCTGCCGTCCAGAAATGGCTGAGAGTAGCTGGTTAAGCTGGAACGGCTAAGGGTAGCTAGTCCCCAGATGGAGCCGGCGCGAATCGTGACGTGACCTGCCCCTTCCCAACCCCCTCCTGGGTGGGAGCGATAGGGGGACTGGTTCCAGGGGGAACTATCGACGTGGAATCCGCGATACACCGCGCAGAGATCGAGAGCGAGCCCCCGATAGCGAGAGCGCAGGGTCCTGGGCGCGGTGGGCTTCCGGGCACCTATTGGCAATGATTGGGCGATCAGGGGTCGATGGGCCCCCTCTGCGCTTCTGCCCCTCCTGACATTGCCGTTGACATCCCCCGCTCCCCGGTGCTGGTAACGGCCGTGATCGCGAGAAGCTACGACCCTGGTTCAACCCTAACCGACAAAAACGGATGAATCCATCTGTTCCGTGCAGAGTCCCCCAAACATCCGGCCCTCTTCCCCAAGGTCCAGCTTGTCCTCCCGAGCCGATGCTTCTGGCTGCCCCGAGGCCCGGCAAGGGCCACGAGGGACCGAAAACGACGAAGAACCTTTTGTTTTGATGGTGCGCAAATCCAATGGAAGTCTCGGGTCGGGCGAAAGGGGGGATAGCACAGGGGGGGTTTGAGAATCAGCTCACGCAGCTGATTTTCGCGGCGCCTCCCGGCGCCGGAGGCGCCCATGTATCGAGGAATGGGCCCCTCGGTGGGGCCGAAACCAGCTGCATGCAGCAAATTTCGTACCCCCCCCCTTTCCCATCCCCCCTTTCGTCCGGCCCGAAAGTCTGGGCACGACCCAGGCGGTTGGCGCGGCGGCCCGCGCGCGCAGGAGCGGCGCCACGGTGCGCGCCAGACGGCCGCGTTGCTGCGACGCCGGGGCCGACGCCGGGGCCCCGCGACCGGGCCGGCGAAGGGCGCGGCGGCCACTCTCCGACCTCCTGGGGGCCGTTCTGTGGGACGGGGCGGTCCCGGCCAAGCCCGGCGATGGTGTGCGCAATGTCCCTACTAAACATTCAGCGTGTGTTTTTCCCAACCATCCTGTGGTGTTGGGTCCTCGTTTTGAAGAGACAGCGCCCCGCGTCCTCTCCTCCTCCTCTCCTCCTCCCCTCCTCCCTCCTCCTCGTCATCGTCACGCAACCTTCCTGTGGTGTTGGGTCCTCGTTTTGAAGAGACGCTGCCCCGCGCTCCTCTCCTTCCTCCTCCCCCTCCTCCCGCTTTCCATCATCATCATCATCATCATCATCATCATCATCATCATCATCATCATCATCATCATCATCATCACCATCATCATCAACAATATCATCATCATCATCATCATCATCATCATCATCATCATCATCACCATCATCATCATCATCATCATCATCATCATCATCATCATCATCATCATCATCGTCATCATCATCAGCATCATCATCGTCGTCATCATCGTCATCGTCGCAGTCACCATCGTCGTCATCATCATCTCCGTCATCGTCACAATCATCGACATCAGCTTCGGCACATCCCTTACACGTTTCGTGGCCCCATAGGGAGCTCCACCGAAGGTCCCCGTGGCGCAGTTCGCATGCGTCTCCCCCACCCAGTACAGCGTTTCGTGGCCCCATAGGGAGCGCCATCTAAGGTCCCAGTAGCGCAGTTCGCATGCGTCTCCCCCGCCCAGGACAGTGTCTCGTGGCCCCATAGGGAGCCCCACCGAGGGTCCCAGTGACGCAGTTCGCATGCGTCTCCCCCACCCAGGACAGCGTTTCGTGGCCCCATAGGGAGCTCCACCTAAGGTCCTAGTGGCGCAGTTCGCATGCGTCTCCCCCGCCCAAGACAGCGCTTCGTGGCCCCATAGGGAACGCCACCGAAGTCCCAGTGGCACAGTTCGCATGCGTCTCCCCCATCCAGGACAGCGCTTCGTGGCCCCATGGGGAACGCCACCGGAGTCCCAGTGGCGCAGTTCGCATGCGTCTCCCCCGCCCAGAACAGCACTTCGTGGCCCCATAGGGAGTTCCACCGAAGGCCCAGGGGCGCAGTTCGCATGCGTCTCCCCCGCCCAGGACAACGCTTCGTGGCCCCACGGGGAGCTCCACCGAAGGCCCCAGTGGCGCAGTTCGCATGCGTCTCCCCCGCCCAGAACAGCACTTCGTGGCCCCATGGGGAGCCCCACCGAAGGCCCCGTTGGCGCAGTTCGCATGCGTCTCCCCCGCCCAGGACAGCGTTTCGTGGCCCCATAGGGAGTTCCACCGAAGGCCCCAGTGGCGCAGTTCGCATGCGTCTCCCCCGCCCAGGACCGCGCTTCGTGGCCCCATAGGGAGCCGTCACCCCCATTTCGGCACTCCCTGACACGTTTCGTGGGCTCCACCGAAGGCCTCAGTGGCGGCGTTTCGAAGGTGGGGTTAGTTCCATGCGTTCGTTTTTGAAGGCTGCGATGTGTAACCCAGCAGCTGCGCCTCGCCGACAGCGTTCCAGGGGCGATCGCCGCAACCAGCCCGGGTGCCCGAGCTACTGGCGTTATTGCCCGAGAGTTGTCGAGGGCGTTCCAGGCCCACTGGTGGCCTCGGGGGGCTTCGGGGATGCGTCCGGAGACTTGCGGACACCTGCGTCGGAGGCCGTCGGAGTTGAGGAGGACGAGCGGAGTGGGCTGCGGAGGAAAGGAGGAGGAGGAGGTCGGAGGAGGAGGAGGAGGAGGAGGAGGTTGGCCTCATAGGGAGCTCCACCGAAGACGAGATTCACAATTGCGGCGCTCTCAACTGCGTATGGTTGGGTCTTTCGCCAGGCTAGGTTGTTTGTTTTTTCCAACCAACCTGTGTTGCTGGGTCCTCGTCTTGAAGAGACGGTCCCCGCGTCTCCTCCTCCTCCTCCTCCCTCCTCCCCTCCTCTCATCATCATCACCATCACCATCACCATCACCATCATCATCATCATCATCATCATCATCATCATCATCATCATCATCATCATCATCATCATCATCAGCATCGTCGTCATCATTATCATCATCATCAACATAAGAATCATCAACATCATCACATGTTTCGTTGCCACATAGGGAGCTCCGCCGAAGGTCCCAGTGGCACAGTTCGCATGCGTCCCCGCCATTCATATCGGAACGACACACCCCTCACACGTCTCGTGGCCCCATAGGAGCTCCGCCGCAGGTCCCAATGGCACAGTTCGCATGCGTCCCCGCCACTCATTTCGGCACACCCCTCACACGATCCGTGGCCCCACAGGAGCTCCGCCGAAGGTCCCAGTGGCACAGTTCGCATGCGTCCCCGCCACTCATTTCGGCACACCCCTCACACGCTTCGTGGCCCCATAGGAGCTCCGCCGAAGGTCCCAGTGGCACAATTCGCATGCGTCCCCGCCGCTCATTTCGGCACACCCCTCACACGCCTCGTGGCCCCATAGGAGCTCCGCCGAAGGTCCCAGTGGCACAGTTCGCATGCGTCCCCGCCACTAATTCCGGCAAGCCCCTCACACGTCTCGTGGCCCCATAGGAGCTCCGCCGAAGGTCCCACAGTTCGCATGCGTCCCCGCCACTCATTTCGGCACACCCCTCACGGTGGCCCCATAGGAGCTCCGCCGAAGGTCCCAGTGGCACAATTCGCATGCGTCCCCGCCACTCATTTCGGCACACCCCTCACACGCTTCGTGGCCCCATAGGAGCTCCGCCGAAGGTCCCAGTGGCACAGTTCGCATGCGTCCCCGCCAATCATTTCGGAACACTCCTCACACGCTTCGTGGCCCCATAGGAGCTCCGCCGAAGGTCCCAGTGGCACAATCGCATGCGTCCCCGCCGCTCATTCCGGCACACCCCTCACACGCCCCGTGGCCCCATAGGAGCTCCGCCGAAGGTCCCAGTGGCACAGTTCGCATGCGCCCCCGCCACTCATTTCGGAACACCCCTCACACGTCTCGTGGCCCCATAGGAGCTCCGCCGAAGGTCCCAGTGGCACAGTTCGTATGCGTCCCCGCCACTCATTTCGGCACACCCCTCACACGCTTCGTGGCCCCATAGGAGCTCCGCCGAAGGTCACAGTGGCACAATTCGCATGCGTCCCCGCCGTTCATTTCGGCACACCCCTCACACGCTTCGTGGCCCCATAGGAGTTCCGCCGAAGGTCCCAGTGGCACAGTTCGCATGCGTCCCCGCCACTAATTCCGGCAAGCCCCTCACACGTCTCGTGGCCCCATAGGAGCTCCGCCGAAGGTCCCAGTGGAACAATTCGCATGCGTCCCCGCCACTCATTTCGGCACACCCCTCACACGTTTCGTGGCCCCATAGGAGCTCCGCCGAAGGTCCCAGTGGAACAATTCGCATGCGTCCCCGCCACTCATTTCGGCGCACCCCTCACACGCCTCGTGGCCCCATAGGAGCTCCGCCGAAGGTCCCAGTGGCACAGTTCGCATGCGTCCCCGCCACTCATTTCGGAACACCCCTCACACGCTTCGTGGCCACATAGGAAGGTCCCAGTGGCACAGTTCGCATGCGTCCCCGCCGCTCATTTCGGCACACCCCTCACACGCTTCGTGGCCCCATAGGAGCTCCGCCGAAGGTCCCAGTGGCACAGTTCGCATGCGTCCCCGCCACTCATTTCGGCACACCCCTCACGGCTACTACTACAACGACGACTACGACGACGACGTCAATTATTACTACTACCCAGAGGGTGTTTCACGCCGTTGTTTTGGCAACTTCGGCTGGAAATTGGCACCGACAAAATAATGCCGGTTTTCGGCATTGCTGGCACTAACCACCATACGAAACGGGCTGCAACCGCAAAATGTGATAACGCACGCACGCTTCAGCTACGACGAACGTTGGCTGCACACCTTTGTATTGCATATGTATCGAATGCGGTAATGGTGGTTCAGCT